GCCTCCAAAAAGGCATGTTCCCCAGCGTCTGTCTGAACTTCCTTGTAGCTCCGATAAAGCTGTCTGCTAACTTTAGGAAGGCCTGCCAAAACTGACAGCTATTTATGAAATAATTTACCTTGGATGGTGGAAAAGCTCACGGTGGAAACCGCAATCACACATACATCCTGTTTGCATTTCTCCGGGCACGACCGTTCCATCGTGGCCCCACTGGCTGGCTGGGAGGGTGGTGCAGGGGCCGGGCAGGGCGGGCCGCTCCTCCTGAGCCACAGAGGCAGGCCGGCGGAGCACCAGCCCATCCCTCTGCAGTCCTGGAAAAGGCACCCCTGCCCTGGAAAGAGAAGCAGGACCAGGACGGCTGGGGTGTGATTCTGATTGATGCTTTAGTTACTGTGCCTGGAATCATTCACTTCCCCTCCTGCCACCCCCCACCCCCACCCCCACTGCAAGGCTGACATAATAGGGGCCAGAGACACAGATCCAAGCAGAGATGCAGAGACATAGTGGAGAAGGGAAAACAGCTAAAAGGCCAGACGTTAAAAAGGCATCGCTTCCACACAGCTCTGGAGATGGGGTACCTTGACAAGTCTCATCTCTAACCTCCACCGTGACTCACGTCTGCAATTTCGTCTCCGGGAGAACCTCTTCTCTTCTCGTGGTTCTTCCAGACGGAGCCTCACGGCACAGCCAGCGCCGTGCTAGGGGTTAACACGCGTTACCCGTGGCATTTTACCCCTGCTGATCGCCCGTGGATGTAGATATGCTTGTTTCGCAAAGGAAGGCAGTTCAGAGAACTTCAGAGAGTTGCCCCAGGTCAGAGAGCTCTTCTTCAGAGCCTGCTAAGGCCCAGATTCTCCAAGGAGAGAATCTGAATCTCCCATTCAGCTCCGGGAGGGGAGCTTTGCACACCAGAGGGAGGTAGAGGTTCCCTGGCACGGCCCTGACCTTTGGGCTGAGGACCTTGGGAAGACCAAGGACGGCCTTGGACCAGAGCAGAGAGCATGACCTCGGATCTGACTGAAGGGAGGAACTAGGGGCCCAGACAAGAATATTTGAAACTGGAGGGGCCTCAAGTTCAAGGCCAGGGGTTCTCAACAGAAGAGAGAGTAGGGAGACAAGAAGGGGATGCCAGGCTGCATACTGGGGAAGGACCCTGACACCAGCTCCTCAGGGGCGCGAAGACCCAGCCCAGCCCCATGCTCCTACGCATGGGGAAACTGAGGCCCAGGGTGGGAAGGAGGCCCCCCAACAAAGGTGTACTCGCCTGGGGTCAAACTATCCTGAGGGCAGTGTGCATGTGAACTGTGCACGGGAGCTGGCAGACCGAACACCCCGAGCCAGAAATGGCTCAGGGTTTGTCCTCATCCTCCTTTTTCGATCTTGATGAAAATGGTGAACACAGCAGAACTTCCACTTCTGCCCCCCGTACTTCAGGCCCTTCTGTCATTTCTAACAGTGATGAAAGGTCTTCTTCCCCATTCACGGAATGGCTCGCTCACTCCCCAGCTCCGGCTTCTCTGCCTCATTACTGTTTCCCAGGCTGAGGCCCAGTGCCTAAATCAGGACAATAAGAGGAGAGGGGAGGTGGGCAGAGAGAGGTCCAAGAACCAGTCCAAAACCAACACAAAGGGGTCCTCTCCCTACCTCCCCTCCTCTCTCTTGGGTCTCCTGGGAGGATTATGTGCAGGACTGGGCAGGGGCGGGGGCAGGGGCTGTTTTCTGGGGATTCCATAGGAACCCGGGTGCACCTGTGCGGGCCCAGAAGAAGGGGAGTGTAGGTGTGGGCCTCCCTCCGGGACACGGCCTCCAGGAGCCCTGGATGTGGAGACAGGCGGAGCTGCGAGTCCAGATCAAGCCGTGCCAGATGGATGATGGAAGACTGAGGCCAGCGTTGACCACCACACCTCTAGTCAAAGGGATCTGGGTCCCAGTCTCGGTTCTGCACTCCCCCCCTCCCCTCCCCCAAACACTGCTGGGCACACTGGGCAAGTGCCTGGGCCTCTCCGAGGCCTCTTCCTCCTCAGTACACTGAGTAGGATTTAGCAAATGTTTAGCGAATACTGCGCCAGGTACAGGAGCATGTGGGAAAAAGCAGTTCCTGGCGGGGAGAAAGAGAACCCTGTTAATCAAATTTTCACAAATTTCACACGACAGTGCTAAAGGGGACAATAATACTCCTGGGGGTGTTTTGTGGAACGGATTAAATGCATCTGAGGACACAGAAGCCTTCAAGAAACCACAGCCCCTCAGATGGCATCTCGGGGAGCCGAAGAATTGGAAGAATACTTTTTTCTTTGTCATGCACTTTAAAGTCTCCAAAGCAGTTTCCACACACAGGAGCTGGTCCAGGCTTTCCAATAACACTGGGAGGTAGGTGCTTTATTTCTGGAGGAGGCAACTGAAGCCCAGAGAGGTTAAGTGACTTCCTCAAAGGCCCCAGCAAGGAGACCAAGGACTCAACCTTGGCGCGTGAGTCAGCGGCTGGTTTTACACTCACTCATTGTGACAGGGAAGAGCTGGGAACCACTGTGAGCTGTGGGTCAGGCGGGGATGGGAAAAGGCCGGCCAGGATGTGCTCCGGA